AATCTTATTATTTATACCTAATTAAATTCAAAATTAAATCTATTTTTATTAATTATGAGAATAAAATAAACAAAATTAATAATATGTCTATACTTTATCCATAGACTTTCAAATATATAAATAACAATTTTAATGGTGTTTCAAAAATACCATTCATTAATACACTTCAACTTTTAAAAAGGTTTAAAAATATTCATGAAATTTTAAAAGTAACATTAACACTCTTCACGTTTTATAAGAAAATTTTAATTTTTGTACGATCTATTGACATTTTATAGATTAGCTCCAAATTTTTAAAAACTCAAGAGTACCTTTAGAACATTTTTTAAAGTTTAATGGTCTTTTTGAAACTTTAAGTTTAAAGTATTTTTTAAAAAAGAAAATTTACTATTTCATCCCAAACTAACGTATTTTCAATTTAAAAGTATTTTTTAAATTTTCTTGAAAAATTGAAGGGTAACATCACAATTTAATTTTTTAAAACCTAAAAAATTAAAAGAGATCTGAATCTCAACTAATTTCTTTATACAAAATTAGTTTAAGATTTGAATGGTGTAAGATGAGAGAGAAATCTCTGGATAGGGGCCAAAAGTAACCACAAGTGAGATTGTAGTGAAAGTCAAAGGTGCAATTAATCACGGCATGTAATGTTCCAAGTTTCAAAGTGAGAGAAATTGTGTGAGATTAGAGAGAAATTCGGAAAAGGAGCAGAAGTATCAACATGCTAGGGAGGTTAGGTTGACTCAGTTCATCACTGCATGTAATGCCACGAGTAGAAACACTGTTAAAATTGTGTGGGATGAGAGAAAAATTTTGGAGATGAGAGAAAAATTTGGGAGAAGGGGCTAGCTAGGTGAAAGTGAAAAGTGGAGAGGGACAATCTAGATTGAGGTGAAAGTCAAAAGTGAAGAGTTCATCACCCCCAATTTCAAAGTGAGAGAGAGCCACAAAGTGAGATTAGAAAAAGAAAGGAAAAGGGGTCGGAAGTAACTATAATGAAGCGAGGACTCAGAGGAGAGGGTACACACCCCCCTTCCTCTACCTTTGCCCTCAAGTCTTTATCCTTTTACACCCCAAAAGGTCTCACACCAATGGAGAGTGTATTCTTCCATAAATTAACCAATGTGGGATACTTTCATCTAAATCCATGACCATTCCCTAAATTAACCAATGTGGGACACTTTCATCTAACACCTCCCCGAACAAAGTACGCCTCCCCTTAATCGAGGCTCGACTCCAATTCGTACCTTCGAGGAGGCTTGACTCCTTTTTTCTTTTTGGAGTTCTTTGGCCTCCCCCAAAAGGCCTCAAACCAATGGAGAGTGTATTCTTAGATTATAAACCCATGATCATTCCCTAAATTAACCAATGTGGGACACTTTCATCTAACACATGTAACCATAGGGAGAAATATGGGAGATGGGCAGTAAACACGTGTAAGAGAAATATGGAAAACGGGAACTGAAACACGTGTAAGAGAAATATGGAAAACGGGAACTGAAACACGTGAGAGAAATATGGAAAACGGGAACTGAAACACGTGAGAGAAATATGGAAAACGGGAATTGAAACATGTGAGAGAAATATGGGAACTCAAACATGTGAGAGAAATATGGGAACTGAAACATGTGAGAGAAATATGGGAACTCAAACATGTGAGAGAAATATGGGAACTGAAACACGTGAGAGAAATATGGAAAACGGGAACTGAAACACCCGATAGAGAAATATGGAAAACGGGAACTGAAACACCCGATAGAGAAATATGGGAAAGCAGCCGAAAACACGTGACAGAAATATGGGAAGACGAAAACACGTGAAAAATGGGAAATGGAAACAAGTGAGAGCGAAATACAGGAAAGGGGCCACAAGTAACTATATGAAACAGAAATATGAGAAAGGGGCTAGAAATAACGCCAAGAGAGATTAAGGTGAAAGTCAAAGGTGCAGTGTAGTGTAGAGCAGTTCATCACTGCATATAAGAGAGAAAACCACAAAAAGGGGTTGAGGTGAAAGTCAAAGGTGCACAAAAAGGGGTTGAGAGAGAGAAAGCCACAAAAAGGGGTTGAGGTGAAAGTCAAAGGTGCACAAAAAGGGGTTGAGGTGAAAGTCAAAGGTGCAGTGTAGTGTAGAGCAGTTCTTGACACAATCGCACTTTTGAAGCCAGCGTGCGATTGTGCGGCACTCACTTTCCAATGATAAGTGAGTTAAGCCAATTTATTCTTGCGTCGGGCCAAGCGACGTATGATCGAGCCTCTAGCCTCAGTTTTAAAAGAAGGTTTTAGAAAATGAGGGTAGAGAGAGATTTTTGAAAGAGATGTTATATAAGCAAGCAAGAGAGAGATAACAACCGCTTACAATATATAACCTTGCGTACATCACTACATGTAAGAGAGAAAGCTACAAAAAGGGGGCTAGAAGTAACGCCTAGAGAGATTGATGTGAAAGTCAAAGTTGTAGCGTAGTGTAGAGCTCTTCACTGCTATGTAAGAGAGAAAACCATGCAAAAGAACAAAAACCGATGTAAAACTCAAAAAAGAAAGGAGAGAGAGAAGGCCACACCACTACATGTAAGAGAACGGATGAAAAACATAAAAAGAAAGGAGAGAGAGAGAAAGCAAAAAAAAAAAAACCAAACAAAAACAAAAACGGATGAAAAAGAGAAAAAGAAAGGAGATGAAACAACAAGTTATCACTACATGTAAGAGAGAAAGCCACAAAAAGATATAGAAACCGATGAAAAATAGAAAAAAGGAAGGAGATGAAACCGCAAGGAGGGGGGTACACACCGAGTGGGGGTCCTTCCCCTTCCTCACCTTTGTTGATACTCACCTAGTGGGGTACCATCCCTCTTCCTCTGCCTCTGCCTCTGTTGATACACACCTATCATTACCTTTGTCCTCAGTTCTCTATCCTTTTACACAATTCTCTTCCTTTTTACAATTGTGGTGATCATCACAAAAAGTGGGCCTTGTTCATTGGCATAATATAGGGTATCTTTACTTTCAATTCAAATTCGTGTCCCACCTAGTATTCGTAGTTGAAACTCAAACTCACCCCCACAACTTCCTAATAGATGAATGTCTCCCTCCTTCCTTTTTTTTAATGTCTTTCCATATCGAATTTCTTCTTTTTCATCCACTCTTTATTTCTTTTGAAGCACCAAATTTTGTAAAATTATTTCGTGGATATAAATTTCAATTATTTGACTCCTTTAACTATGGGCTACTATCATCCAATCGCCAGCTTCTCCTTTTACTTTTGCCTTGATCAAGCTTGTTTCACTAAGCAACATCACTCACTCTCTCCCTCTTCTTGCATTTTCAACCTTTAGCTTTATTTCTTCTCTTTTTCGGTTGTTCATCTCTCTCCCCAAAAATTTCCTCTCTAGTTTTCTCTGAAATCGAGAAGTTTAATCTCCCTTTTTACAAATCTTCGTGAGAAATGATCTCAAATCTAGAATTTTAATCTCCCTTTTAGATTCTCTGTGAGAAATGAGAAATGTAGGAAATGGATCATTGGGCGGCTGATTCTCTCCCTACCTTTGCCAAAAAATTTTATATCTTGCTAGTGGATCATGAACCCTTGTCTCTCAACCACTTCTTCATTGCTTGAGCAACAATCTTTCAATGATATAGAGTATTCCATTCATCTCTTTTCACCATCCTAATTTTAATTTTTTATGCAATGGTCTAAAGCTAATGGTCTGCTTAAAGCGTATGATGAATGTCCCCCTCCATGTTTTTGCTCCTGATAGTACAAAGTGTTAACCATTCAACCCCATCTTTTGCCTCCTCCTTGTTTCAATCTCTTTTGGAAGCTCTTGAAGGTAAGATCTTAGTTTCTTATCTTTTAATGTCTTTCCATGTTGGATTTCTTTTTTTTCATTCACTCTTTATTTCTTTTGAAGCACCCAATTTTGTAAAATTACTTCAAATTGTGGATATAAATTTCAATCCAAACTGAGACAGTTTCAGCTCTGTGCTACTCTCATCCATTCAGCAATTGCCCGCTTCTCATCCAAATTGAGACTGTTTCATAATATGTGCTGTCTCACCCTCATTTCTACACAGATTCGTTTAGCCATCAAATATTCTCCTTTAAACTCAAACTCACCCCCACAACGTCCTACTTTGTCATTACTCTCTATGTGTTTGATGAATGTCTCACCTCCCATGTTGTTTTTGTTGGTGGTAATGTAAGGTGTTGCCCATTCAACCCCATCTTTTGTCTCTACTTCTTTTTGGAAGCTCTCAAATTTAAAGTCTAACTTTCTTCTCTTTTAATGCCTTTTCATTTTCAAGATTTGAATGGTGTGAAATGAGAGAAAAATCAAGAGAGAGATATGGGAATAGGGGCCACAACAAAAGAGGTGAAAGTCAAAGGTGTAGTCCAAGCAGTTCATCTCTACATGTAATGCCTCATTTCAAAGTGAGAGAAAAAGCAATAAGAGATAGAAAATTGTCAGATTAGAAAAAGAAAGTAGATGAAACCGAGGATTGAGGGTACACACAGTGGGGGTATCCTCCCCCTTCCTCTCCCTTTGTCCTCTGTTCTCCATTCTATGGTGATCATCACAAAAAGTTGGGCCTTGTTCATCTTTATCCATCTAAAAATTGGCATAATATGTGCGGTCTCACTCTCATTTCTACTCAGATTCGTGTAGCCACCACGTATTCTCCTTTAAACTCAAATTCACCCCCACAACTTCCTACTTTGTCATTGCCCTCTACGTGTTTGATGAATGTCCCACCTCCCATGTTGTTTTTGCGGGTGGTAATGTAAGGTGTTGCTCATTCAACACCATTTTTTGCCTCTACCAACTTATGGAAGCTCTCGAATTTAAGGTCTGACTTCCTCCTCTTTTAATGCCTTTCCATTTCATTTTTCTTCTTTTTCATTCACTCTTTGTTCTCGTCTATTTATCAATTGTCACCTTCTCCTCTTGCTTTTGCCTTGATGAAGCCCCGTTTCTCTAAGCACCAAGCACCGTTGCTGACTTTCTGTGTGTCTCCTTCTGTGTGTGTGTCACCTTCAGTGTTTGTGTCTCTACATGTTAAGCTTATAACTTTGTCTCTGCATGTTAAGCTTTTAACTTTGTCTCTGCTCTTTCTCGGGTTGTTCATCTCTCTCCCCTAAAATTTGTCCTCTTAGTTTCTCTCAAATCTAGAAGTTTAATCTCCTTTCTCTCAAACTCTCCAAAGGAAATGTTGCAGGATATGAATCATTGGGTCCCTGATTCTCTCCCTAGTTTTGCCAAAAATCTTCATATCTTGGTGGTGGATCATGAAACCTTATCTCTCAAGCACTTGAGTTCATTGCTTAGGCAGCAGTCTTATAATGGTACATAGCATCATAGTATTTCCACTAATCTCTTTCACCATTCTAATTTTAATTTTTTAAGCAACTGTCTAAAGTTAATGTTATGCTTCTTTTTGTATCGGGTTACATGTTGCAATCCTTAAAAAAAACTCAATTCATTTTAGTGGTAGATGTATGATTGGGTTTGAATTTATGAAATTCTTATGGATAGTTGTTTTTATCCATCAACAACTTCTCAAATAAAAAAAAGAAACTGTTAACTTGATTTCTTAACTATTTCTTCTTATTCTTTTTACGGGAATTAAAAATAAATTCATAAGTATAAGATATGAATGTATTCCTTCTTCATGTTTCAATAAGACAAATTATGTGTGTATCTGATCTATTATTAGCTACGAAAGCATGGGTAGAAGGAACATGTTATTTTCTTCAAAAACCTATTTCTAAGGATGATCTCAAATGTGTATGGCAACACGTGTATCATAGTAACATAAACATAGCCAAGCTAACCCATATAGCAAATTGCGTAGAAAATGCCAAATCTGGAAAAGAATCTGTCGGTATCCAAAACAACATTGTTGTTTTGTCTCAGTCCACCGATGCTGCTAGTTATAATAATAGTTGTAGTATTATCTATCAACTTATGAGCTATAACGAAAAAGTGCAAAATATGCCAACGAATTCCCATGATACCCTAGTTGCTTCATACTTCGAAGGAAAGAGATCAACGAATGACTTAGAAGGAACAAACAAGGAGAAGATAGTTACATGTTACTCAAAACCTATTAATTTTAAACATACAAGAGCTGATGAGGATAATGGAAGAGGGAAGGAATATTCTATTTCCCGTAATACCAGACCACGTATTGTTTGGAATGTGGAACGACGTCGTAAGTTCTTTGACGTCCTTAACAAACTGGGTGATAAATGTAATTTTACCTCTCACACGAGTTATTTTTATTTTTTTAGGATTTGAATACGATGATGCATTTCTAATTGTTGTTATTATGTTTTGAAGGTCGCCCAAAACTTATACTTAAGTTGCTGAATGGACCATACTTGATCGTGGACCAGGTAGCTAACCACCTACAGGTATTCTTCTATCAAGTTTGCTTACTATTTTCCCATATGTACTTTTAGTTGTTTATGAATAAATGAGGAATTAGAAATACAAAGCCAAGTAAGTCCACGAAAAGGGGAGAAAAAATAAATTAGGTCCAAGGATGAAAGCATCCAAATTCAATTTCTCAATCCATACTCAATTTCCTCCATTGGTGCAAACGCAGTACAATCATGAGGCAAACAAATCTACATAGGGAGGTTCAACCTCTCTTTCAGAAGGGAAAAGATTCCAACTTATTGCTCCTAAACCTGTGCCTAATCCTAGACTGCTTGTTAGCGCCAACTTTGTAAATCATGGTCTCAGAATGCTTGACCACAATTTTTCAGCATGTTACTTCAAACTACAATTCAGTTCTATATAGCATCAATAAGACGACTCGAGAGGTAACTTCTTTTCGTGTATTTGATGAAATTCAAGTCCCAAATATATATCAAGTTGATGTAGCTCAGCAGCTAGAAGCAATGGAATTTAGTGGCATATCAGAAGGGATTCAGTTGATGTCAAAGAACATCGCTTTACTTGATTCAACCAACTTGGACAATGTTGCTGCAAATTTTGGAAATGGTGGAAGCCAACAACAATTAGCAGAATATGATTATCTCTTTAATGTTTTAGAAGACGATCCACACGACTTTGGTAGCAACTTTAATCTGAGTGATGTAGATAAATACAATGAGTAGCTAAGGAACATTGTTCTCAGAAACGAAAGCGATTGAGATAGCTTTATCAATAACAATGCAGAAAACTTTCTTAAAATCAATTAATAAATAGGTATGTTTTACTTCTACAATGTTCTCAATGTCTTTAAAATCTTCCATAGACTAAAAGTTAAAGATTTATTCTTAGCGGGAGGTTGAAGAATCTTAAGAAGCCGGATAAACAGTCTAACCCTCAAATCAAATACATACGAGAGCGTAAGAATTAAAATATCATATATTAGAATTGAGCTCAATATCTTCAACAAACTTAAAGCAAAACTTTCTACACTTCAAGATTGAAGATTCAATCTCGAGAACAAAGACCACATTCTTTAAAAGTTTCAATAAATGTAAACCCAATTTATTTCATATCTTCAGAATTTTATAAAAGAAATTCATAAAACAGTAGTTGTAAAAAATAAATCAAAATCCAAACTTAATAATATAATAAAAATAAATAACAGAAAAACTTATAAAAAGAAAAGAAAAATGTGGAGAAGGATTTATTAACTTCGGCACTTAATTCTATTTTTAATTTTAATCATTTTTAACCCACACTCTCATTCATTGGATATTATTGTTTATAGAGGAAAAAGAGGTGGATCCATTAATCAAACCCTGATTTAATCTTATTATTTATACCTAATCAAATTTAAAACTAAATCTATTTTTATTAATTAAAAATTTGAAATATTCCAATTAAATAAACTTGAGAATAAAATAAATACTAAATTAATAATATGTCTATACTTTATGTATAGACTTTCAAATATCTAAATAACAATTTTAAATTAAAAAAATAATTAAAAAATATAGTTTATTTCAAAAATACTATTAAGGGTGTTTTAAAAACACATTTCAACTAAAAAAAGCTCAAAAATATTTTTACTATTATGTATAAAAAATACTCATAAAATTACATTAGTACCCTTTACGTCTTATAAGAAAAATTTTAATTTTTAAAGTCACATTAATACCCTTTATGTCTTATAAGAAAAATTTTAATTTTTTTACGATCTATCTACCTCTTATAAATTAGCTCCAAATTTTTAAAAACTCAAGAGTACTTTTTGAATCATATTTGAAAGTTTAATGATCTTTTTGAAACTTTAAGTTAGTATTTTTTAAAAAAGAAATTAACTATTTCCATCCAAAACTAAAGGTTTTAGACCTAAAAAGTAGCCACAAGTGGGACCTGAATCTCAACTAATTTCTTTATACAAATTTAGTTTAAGATTTGAATGGTGTAGGATAATAGAGAAATCAAGAGAAGGCCAAAAGTAACCACAAGTGAGATTGAGGTGGAAGTCAAAGGTACAATTAATCACTGCATGTAACGTCCCAAGTTTAAAAGTGAGAGAGAAATTGTGTGAGATTAGGGAGAAAACTGGGAAAGAAAGGGGCAGAAGTATCTACATGCATGCGAGGGAGGTAAAACACGGTAGAGAGAAATATGGAAAATGGGCGGAAAACAAGTGAGAGAGAGAGGAAAACAGAAAAATATGGGAAACCAGAAAAGTGATAGAGAAATATGGGAAACGATAGAAACACAGGAAATAGGTGAGAGAGAAATATGGGAAAGGGAACCGGTGAGAGAGAAATATGAGAAATGGAAATGTGATTGAGAAATATGGGAAAGTGGCCCAAAACATGAGAAACACGTGAGAGAGAAACGGAAACACGTGAGAGAGAAACGGAAACACGTGAGAGAGAAATATGGGAAACGGAATATGGAGAATGGAAACGTGAGAGAAATATGGAAAAGGGGTCAGAAACAAGTGAGAGAAATATGGAAAAGGGGTCAGAAACAAGTGAGAGAAATATGGGAAATGAGTAGGAAACATGTGAGAGAGAAATATGGAAAAGGGTCAAAACAAGTGAGAGAAATATGGGAAAGGGAAACACGTGAGAGAGAAATATGGGAAAGGGGTGGTAAACACGTGAGAGAGAAATATGGGAAAGGGGTCGTAAACACGTGAGAGAGAAATATGGGAAAGGGATGGTAAACACGTGAGAGAGAAATATGGGAAAGGGGTCGTAAACACGTGAGAGAGAAATATGGGAAAGGGGTCGTAAACACGTGAGAGACAAATATGAGAAAGGGATCGTAAACACGCGAGAGACAAATATGGGAAAGGAGCTGTAAACACTAAGAGACAAATATTCGAAATGGGCCACAAGTAAGACCAAAAGAGATTGAGGTGAAAGTCAAAGTGAGAGAGAAAGCCACGGAAGGAACAAAAACTAGTGAAAAACAGAAAAAGGAAGGAGATGAAAAATAGAAAAAAATAATTAAGATTTGTGTACCCACCAAGTATTCTTTGTTGCTTCCTACTTGGTGTTTGATAAATATCCAATTTGGTGCTTCCTACTTTGTCATTGCCCTCTGTGTTTGATGAATGTCCCCCTCCTTTTTTTTAATGTCTTTCCATGTCGGATTTCTTCTTTTTCATCCACACTATGTTTCTTTTGAAGCACCAAATTTTGTAAGATTATTTCAAACCGTGAATATAAATTTTAATTCCTTTTAAGACTCCTTCAACTATGGGCTACTGTCATCCAATAGTCAGCTTCTCCTTTTCTTTTGCCTTGATGAAGCTCTATTTCACTAATCACCGTCACTGACTCTCTCCCTCTTCTTGCATGTTCTTTTGCCTTGATGAAGCTCTATTTCACTAATCACCGTCACTGACTCTCTCCCTCTTCTTGCATGTTGAGCTTTTAGCTATCTCTTCTCTTGTTGAGTTCGTTATCTCTCTCCCCCAAAATTTACTCACTCAATTTCTCTCAAATCTGGAAGTTTAATCTCCTTCTTACAAATTCTCTATGAGAAATGATCTCCACTCAATTTCTCTCAAATCTGGAAGTTTAATCTCCTTCTTACAAATTCTCTATGAGAAATGATCTCAAATCTAGAAGTTTAGTCTCCTTTCTCACATATTCTCTCTCAGAAATGATCTAAATCTATAAGTTTAATCTCCCTTAATTATCAGTGAGAATTATCGTTGAAAAATGAGAAATGATTTCAAATCTAGAAGTTTAATTTTTTAGATTTCTCACATCAGATTCTCTGTGAGAAATGAGAAATGATCTCAAATCTAGAAAAATCTGAAAATTTTCCCTTTGAGAAATAATCGGAAATCTAGAAGTTTAATCTCCATTCTTTCATATTCTCTGTGATAAATG